CGAGGTCAACATTACCGTCCGTGGCAAACCTGAAAGCTCGGTTCGCACGGTTTGGGCCGCTGGAAGTCGACAGCACGCGCGTGTTCTGGCGAGGTCAACATTACCGTCCGTGGCAAACCTGAAAGCTCGGTTCGCACGGTTTGGGCCGCTGGAAGTCGACAGCACGCGCGTGTTCTGGAAGTCGCACTCTTGCCGGGTTCAGTTCAAGTACAAGTCCGATGCGTTGAAAGCGTTAGGCTATGTTAAGAGTAACGATATATTCGGGCAGATTCAAGTGGATTACTCTGTTAGAGAAGTCGAAGCTCCGGCACCAGAGCCTCAGCCGGCTGCCGGAGAGTACATCGAGGTCGAAAATGCGACGCCACAGGTTCAGGGTAGGCTGAAATCGATCTCAAGAGCCCAGGCGATGAGCGGCGGGAGAGAAAGCCAGAGAGTGTGAAGTTCATGTTGGCCGTAACGCAATGGCAACGGTAACAGCAGTATAGCCAGAATCACGCCTCCGCCAACACAAGCCCAGTGCTCTAAATCCGCGTCGTTTCAGCCATCGGTTCTGCCGCGCCACCGCCGCCGCCACCTCCTCAGCCTCGGCAGGCCCGTCTAGCGCAGCGCGCGGTTCCCGCCTCCCGCCAGGATCCTATGAACCGTATCAGCTCGCTCGCCACCTCGGCAGGATCTCTCGGCCGAGATTAGGGTTCAGGAGAGGAGGATCAACGTGGACATCTCGCATCAGATGCTGAGCTTGCTGATGCGGTGCAACGATATAGTTAGCAGCCTCCGGTCATTGCCGGACTTTCGCTGCCCTACCGTCCTCTGTGAGGTCGACAGTGGGTGGCGGTCGATCACCGTTGCATTTCAAAGTCTGGGCGGTCGTCGGATTGACGGCCGGAGAGCTGATGGTGTTGTGTTTTAGGGAGAGGCAAAGGACGGAACGTTGATACTCCAATAGAGAGAGTGTGATGGATAGTTTAGGGTAGAATCTTCATGTATCTTTGTTTGTTGTTTTTGCTTCTGATGGGCAAAACTCTGCTTGCCAACATTGAGAGATCCATTTCGGGCTCCTCCTAAGACTCCTAATTTGTCTCTAGTATAATCTAAAACAACTAGTCATTAAAATAGTTCCTATTTTAGATTAAGAAGTATTATTACAGTCGTTAACACTGATTTGTCCTATCATATTCAGTGTTTTACTATTAATTTTGACTGATGATGCTGTTGCGCGCCTTGCGGAAGCGTGCTTGCCTACCAAACGAGTCGATAAGACACGAGAGAAGAGAACCAAATCAAATCACGGGTGCAATTCACCAAATACGACACAAATCACACCAAACATAAAGATTTACGTGGTTCAGCAATTGCTTACGTCCACGGGGAGAGGACATGGAGATTTCACTATATGGATGAGAAATACAACGAGTTATAACTCAAGAAATCACTCAAATATAACCATAACAAAAACTCTCAACTCCCTCATAATATCTCCCTCTCAAAGCGCTCAAAGGTCTCTCCTTTTTCTGATTAAGAAACCCTAAAATCGTATTTCAATTTATATTAAAACACAAACCAAAACAATTGGGAAAACTGAAATGGGCCCATAATCGCATCGCGGCCGACCAGGCACAAGCGTGCGATCGACCGGCCGGAGAGCTGAAAATCAGCCCTGTAATTGTGCACCTTTTCGGTCGACCGGCCATAAGCGTTCGGTCGTGTAAAACCCCAAAAATTTGAATATTATGTGATAAATAATAATAAATATGTTATACGGTGATAAATAACATATTTTGATGTTTGAGTATGCTAGGAATTGATTTGAGATCAATTCAATGTATATGTGTGAATATATGAGTGTAAATGCACAAATCATACACGAAGAAGAAATTTGAAAAAAATGATCAGTTAAGAGTTTATATATTTTACACACTGATGCAGTTAGAATCTGAAAAAACTCAAAAGACCAAAGTTGTGGGTCTCTTCAATAGCTTTCCAACAAATCTTAGATCACCCCATTTCGAGGTTGGATATGAAAGTTACAGCCAAAATACTGAATATAATTTACAGAAATACAGAGTAGTCGACTACTACTCATTGTAGTCGACTAGCGGGGGTATTCCTTGGAACGCCAGGTTTGATTTGGGATCTGTTTTGCTTTAGTTTGACCCGATAACGTGCAGGAGTATATATACACGTTTTTCCTGAGTTGTAAGGAGCTTTTCACGAAATTTTTAACAGCAACCACCCCCTCTCTCAAACCCTAAACCCTTGAGCCGATTACACTATCTCGGGTTTTAAAAAGCCTGGCGACGCAATCGGTCGACTGATCTCTTGGGATCGGTCGACCTATTACACTATCTGGGGTTTTCTTAGGTTTTTGTGTTTTGTAACTTGTCTCGAAAATAAAATTTTGTTAGCATACAAAGCTAAACATGATTCAAACTTTCGTAATTACTTAACAAAGGTTAACATAATGTGATTAAAACTCTTGAATTAACTTAATTAGGGTTTAACATCCTAATTAACCAAAATTCTCAAGTAAGACATATTTTATCAACATGATTAATTCTGATCATTACACAAATATAGATATAGTTTAAACAAGATTACATCACCTATATATCATAAACTTAGGGTTTAAACATCTTAATTAGCAAAATTCTCATTTAAATTGGTTAACTAGGGTTACGAACCAAATTTAAAAATAATTAACAAATTAAAAACAATCTTAATGATCATGATCATCAAAACTAATAAAACATCAACTAAATCTACAGATCTTTTCATTGGTTTAAGGTTTAATATCAAAAACTAGGTTTTTATCACATCAGATTAAACTTTAAGCATTGTATTAATCAATTATTTCATAAAAGCATGATCTTTAACTAGGGGAAAGGTTTGGACACGAGTATATATACTCAAGTATACAACTGGGCTCGAAGCCAAACAAAACCGACCCGAATACAAACCTGTTGGAGCTCTGGAAGCCCGTCGGTCGACTAACCGCTAGGCATCGGTCGACCGATAGGCCTAGGTCGGTCGACCAACCAGAACACAGATTGACTTACATTGCGTCGGTGCATGGTTTTGTGCATGTTTACATCGTTGGCTCACAAAAATACACTGAATCGATCTCATATCGATTTCTAACATACTCAACCATTAAATAAATGATACTTATCACAATATTACACATTTATTATTATTTATTATAATATATCCAAAATTACGGGTTTTTACATAATCCCACCAATGGCCCCACTAAGATGACCCAATCCTAGCCCGGTGGCGGCCCCACCCGAGGCGCTTGACCCGTGCTCTCGTGGCTGCCCAGGAGCGACCTCCGCTATCCGTATCCGTATCCATAATACTGCCGGGTATACCCGTACCCGCCCTGCTGGGGACGCAGTACCCATATATGTGTGGGGCGTGCAGCCGGGTGGTGGAGTGTACCCGTACCCGTGAGAGGGGTTGGGAGTAGGTGGGCCCGGCGGGCGAGAGTAGGTGGACCCGCATGTGGCGGGTAGGCAGGAGGCGGACTGGCCGCAGTGTAGGAGGCAGGCGGAGAGATTGTCAGAGACGTGGGTAGGCGTGTAACTGCCGGAGAATTCTCCGAATTTGTAGGAGATGTTGAGGACACCTTTGGCTTTGCCAGTGTTCTTGCGAACCTGCGAAATAGTTGGAACATCAAAATGGTAATATTATCTAGTTGAATGCAACCACAACTCCTATATTTTTGACTTATTTTGTTTTTGCGATGAACTTTTGATATGTTGTAAGTTGTACAGACATCTAATCAAACTTTGCATTTAAAATTTTCATTTTGGATGCACTCGGTATGTTTTCTTTAATTTTAGAAACGGGAAATCTTTATGCTCAGTTGAGTATCAGGTTTTTGCAAGGGAATTATGAAAAATCAGAATGAAACTTTTCCATCAAACTTGAGTCTTAATGTCTTATCATATTTAAGAAGAACAAAAAATGTAACGAAGCAAAATTTTTGGACATTTCAAGATAAAAAATACACCATTCTTATCCAAAAAAAAAACCATAATTAACAAATATTATATGATATGACATACCTTTCAAAAGCAAATTTGACAAATATTTTATGCACTCCCCATGTAATAAACATATATATGATGTTCATACTGTATTTACATCCAAAATCAATAATTTTTCAAGTGTCACTTTTAAAACCTTAAGGATATTTTCCGTCAGTCACGCAAATTTACCTGATAACTCACAAACTGCGCCGCCGGCACCTTCTTATCAAAATCACCACTACAACCACTCGAAGCCCGCCGCGGCAACCGCCACCTCCGGCCGCCGCCGCCCGATTCCACCCCTCAAGCAGCTCACACACCGGAACAATAACCTCCCCGATGTCCCGATCCCCCAACGCCCGCTCCGACTTCAGAACGACGTGCAGCACCGCCCTTTCGACATCGTACTCCATCACGTTGAACTCGAGCTCGCAGTTCCACGTCGGGTTCTTGCTGCCCTCCCGGTCCACCGGGGTTTTCTTCTTGGACGTCGTGTCGCTGCTGCTGATGGTCGCCACGGCGTAGACCTCCATCTTCGAGAAGACGTTGACGTTGGCGAGGTCCTTGGCCGATATCAGCGTCACCTCGAGAGGGACGTACGCCATGGCGACGGCGAACGGGATGGAATCTAGGGTTTGAGGGTTTCTTGGGGGGGCGGAGGGAGGAAGGGAATAATTGATATAGAGAGTTCGACGGAGGAGAGGAAAAGATGGGGATATGTTTAATGCGAATTTGGCGGGAAGTTGTGTGGGTACATGTGTAGGTGCAAGTTAGAGCTATTAATTTTTCCAAAGGAAATCTTAAAACTATTTTAAAACCCCCACTAATTTCATATATTTTAAATAAGTCATTAGAATTTGTATATTGGATGTGAGTATAAAATGAGAGCCTAATGAATAAGATTAACAGATTTTAACAGAAAAGGGAAATATTTGATAGAACTTGTAGATTTGGGGGAATTTATTAAAATAGTATACAAGGGGTGGAGTTATATTGACATGAATAATTTTTCAAAATTATTCATAAGATCCAGGTGTCTATGTCTGGTAATTTCTACTTAATTAAAATATGAACTCACCTGAGACGATTTTGAAACCTCCACCGCAAGTTTTTTATCATCTATATTTTCCACTTTTGATAAAGAATATTATCCATATACTTGAAAATATGTCATAAATAAGAAACGAAGAGTGATGATGCATACATATCATGAACTCCAGCAAAAAATGCAAGGAAACCCAAAAATATCACAGAGCTCAATCAACTGGTTTATGAACAATAAAACTTTTACTAAATAATCCGCTGCAGATATTCTCCTTAAAATGATGTAAATCAATTTAATGAATAAATACATGACAATCAGACAAGTGCAAGATAATGAACTAGACCCGTTCATTTAAAAAAAGTTACATTGCGGGATTTTTATAATTTTATAATTTATTTCCATCTTTCGCTATGCATTGTGCATGTCTTATTCACCGCTTGATCAACTAAAATAGTTACACACTTCCCTACAATATATATATATATATATATAAATAATAAGAAGAAGAAAACTTGGCAACTTATTCAACCTAGCTTCCTCCTCACGAGTCCCTTGAAGAAGTCAAAACTGCAAATTAGAGGATAAGTCAAAAACGTTAAAACATTCATGCAAATTTTATATAGAAGTGCAAAAATAAAAAATAATTACATAATCAGTAAAACCTAGAAAATTAACATACGCACAAGCCTAAAAAAAGTGGAGGCAACTGCATCAACCTGTGTCTCATGAATCAGGCAGATCTTTGCACATAAGCGATGTTAAGAATTATTGAAGTGTGTTGTAAATAACATGTAAATTTTGGGTCAAGTGTGATAGGTCCCTTGTAATATCACCAATTTGTAGATAGGCCGCAACTACTTCTATTGTTACAGAAAAGACACCCTGATTTCTCAATTCCACAAGTTTCATGTTAATATTTAGCCTCATAAACTGCAACATATGAGCTTCATGAACTTACTTACTATATATATATATATATATATAAATAATAAGAAGAAGAAAACTTGGCAACTTATTCAACCTAGCTTCCTCCTCACGAGTCCCTTGAAGAAGTCAAAACTGCAAATTAGAGGATAAGTCAAAAACGTTAAAACATTCATGCAAATTTTATATAGAAGTGCAAAAATAAAAAATAATTACATAATCAGTAAAACCTAGAAAATTAACATACGCACAAGCCTAAAAAAAGTGGAGGCAACTGCATCAACCTGTGTCTCATGAATCAGGCAGATCTTTGCACATAAGCGATGTTAAGAATTATTGAAGTGTGTTGTAAATAACATGTAAATTTTGGGTCAAGTGTGATAGGTCCCTTGTAATATCACCAATTTGTAGATAGGCCGCAACTACTTCTATTGTTACAGAAAAGACACCCTGATTTCTCAATTCCACAAGTTTCATGTTAATATTTAGCCTCATAAACTGCAACATATGAGCTTCATGAACTTACTTACTATAAACCTGCATAACAATCTTTACATATAACCAATGTGAATATGAAAACTAACGGAGTTGAGAATCCAAGGGGTCTACCAGACTCCACCAGAAAACATTAAAAGTACAGGGCGTGTAACCAGAATTTGGCGATAGTAGAGAGGGTCTGTCTACAATTAACCCTCACAAGTATTATCAAAGTATAACGCTACGAAGTCAAACTAAGTTTCTCTCGAACAACTAGCTCAATTTTATTCCCAAACTCATGTTGGAGTATGCGCTAGCTTATCTCAGTCGCCTACCTCTATATAGTAAACACTTGATTTATCTCACAAAGCAGTCATATTAGGAAACTAGACAGCTTCAGATACATTTAATAATTTTCAAGGTGATTGTTCTCAGAGCCTTTAGTAGATTTTGAGAGCAGTAATCACACATTGATGGAAACTATTTTTCCATCTCATGGGAATCACATACCATGAACTGACAATATTTTACATCTTACATACAGAAGCTTCCAAAGCATTAAGGGGCAAAATCAGAGTTAAGCAAAACCCTATTTAATTCTGTAACCAAGTATTATCATAAGCTTTTTCTCAGGAAAAGGTGTTAACATAAGCATGAAGTTTATTATACATGAACACAACCACTTGACATGTAGTATCACAAACTAATAATGCAGAATAATTAATGCCGGAGCGTGATTCTTTTGTTTTAGGAAAAATGTAGAATATATGTAAAATGGGTGCTAGCTCGAGTTCAACCCTCAGTTTCAATCACATTTTACCATTAAAAGTGACAACAACATGAAATATATAAGTAATTACCAAAAAATAAGTCACTTTAATTGCAAAACCTATGAAGCTATAATCATATCTCACAGGCAAGTTTATCTTGTAACATGAAAAGACAAAGATGAAATAGAACTAAAAGTACCTGTTACCATCTGGATGAAGCTCATAGCTCTTATTGTCCTCATCAGTAGCTAATAAATACCCCGAGGATGTTAATCCCTATATAATACATACATTAGAACATACAACATATGAGTTTGCTCCTTATTCTTTTAATTTAAGATAAATTCAAATAAGTTCGGCTGGCTCTCTGGTTTACCTGAACAGTTACTGATACATCTGCAGATTGTCCATCATGTTTCTCCTCTATGACAACCTTCTGGCCACTACATATTCATATAAGATATTATTTATCTTTAACAGTGATGATTGTTGTTTAACAAGAACCATATATGATATTTACATCATAAGTAAAAGGATTGTAAAGATAATTTGAGCATAAACACGATAAGGTTGTACCTTTGTTTCTTGAATTTATGATATTAATTATAAACAAAATGAAAGCCGCAAGGTGGCAGTTCACAATCTAGCCAAAATTTAAGCTAAAATATTAAAAGGAAACATGTTGCATTTATATTTTGTGTGCAAAGGACTTAACAAACAATAATACAATAAAACTAATTTGTAGACATAAACATCAATAGATACGGACTGGTGGAAATACTTGTACCTGTGAAGCCAAGTTCTGTAGTACATTTCTTCAAGATCTTGAAAGCCTGAATTATAAAAAAAACACGGAGATTTGTTCTGTCGTTAGAGATCTAGACTTTTCTTCCAATGGAAAGTACAAAAATGAACTAAATACACACGTCAATCTAAAACAGTTTTTTTAATTAAGAGAGAAACAGACAATCAGGCTGACAATTGTCTAGGCCATATTGAGATAGTTTATCCACTTTCATGTGCATGAATCATTGACCAATTGTAACACGTCAGCAGTTACCTTTATTCAAGAAAACTTCAAAAAATTCTTCAAATTTGTTGAAAAAAGCAGCAAGTATATCTTCCCTGGTCAGTTGATGTGAAACAGAACTTAATTCTTGTAGTGCGACATTCAAGCAAGTTGTTGGCTTCTCATTATCTACGTTCAAGCCAATACCTAAAAAATAAGATATCATCGATCAGAAATGCTAAAATTTTACAACTCAAACGTGCACATATATTCACCTTTCAATAGAAATGCAACAAATCACTTAAAAAAACTGTTAACGTGAGAGCTAGATGTTCACTTTTAAGATATATTACTTTTCATTAAAACTCTAATTTCGTAACTTCATACATATTCATGAAAGTGAAAACCCGGAATATACATGGCCATCCGATAATATGAAGGAAGAGCATTTACCAACACAAACATCAAACTTTTTCGATCTGTATGTTGAAGTGCAAAGTATGCCACCAACCTTGAGCCCATTCAGATATAAATCATTTGGCCACTTTATTCTAACTTCAAGTTCTGGAAGTCCCTGAAAGCAGAGGGTATTTATATTCCCAAGCATCACATGATAAACTTTACAAGCAAAAATGCTAAACTTTACAAGCAAAAATACTATCATAAAGGAAAAGAGAGGAGCAACAGTGGCGGTAAAAAGTTACTTTAGCATGACAAGCCTCCTTGATTGCCTCAGTCATAGCAAGACAAGCAACATACTGCAAGAGAGGCAACTTTCGCCCATCCTCCATCTGAAGACTAAAAGAGAACAAAAGGCAGCCCACGGGCGAATCCCATACGTTCTTCACTCGACCTGTAAATGTAATATAACAAAACTAAGGTTTATCAACTAAAATGACAGGAAAAGAAGAAAAATAACATCATTGTTTAAATAATTGCGAATAGAGCCCCTGTACCATCGCCAAATACCCCTGTAGTTATGTTGTTGCAAATAGACCCGCTGAAAGAGTTCTATTGTTGCAGATAGACCCCCTGGAAAGGGTAAAAAATGCCAATTAGAGGGTATCTGCAACTATAGGACTTCAGGGGTTGTAAGTTCAATTTGGCTATACACAAAAGGTCCATCCGCAATTAACTCTTGTTTAAATCAACATGTAAATGCACACCTCTGCCTTTGAACTGGACATCAGCAACACACGCTGAACCAATGGGAATGTCACAAAATTTTCTGCCAGAAACTTATTGATAAACAAACAAACCTAGAGAAAATAATATAAGAATAAATGGACTGAACAACGTACTGAGAGACAAGGTCCTGGGTGGAGGAAATACGTGGAGACCAAATGAGGAACCGTCCAAAGTTGCTAGCAGAGAGTGCTTTCATATAGAGCTGGATCTGAAAGTTCAGCTGGTGACTTGAATCCATTTCAGAGCATAGAAGAACCCTGACCTCTTCATTTTCTTCTTGACCAAAATTCTTCAGGGTCATCCACTTGCTCTTCAGGGAATGAGCAAGTTCGTTCTCCTCAAGATATTTGCCACATAACACAAGGAGGGTTGGCATAGAGCTACCCGTGGTGCTTCCACAAGAAGAGGGAGGGTTTCTTGTTGAGAAGGATTTACGGGACAGGGAACGAGGGAGGCGGAGCCACAGGAAACGAACAGTTGCAGCAGCAGCGGCAACCGCAACAATGACACCGACAGAATGTAATTTAGGACGACCAAATAGCATGCTTAGTTTCAACTAATCCCCACAATTTTTTTTCCTTCTTCTATGAATCAGCGAGAATTACATCAAGGAGATCATGAGAGACCAGATTGGTCGTAACCTCTCTCTAACAAACAATGTTACCTAGAAATAAGAAGTTCTGTAGAAGAAAGTTAGCTTTCTCACCACGGACATTTTAACAGTAACATTTTGTAGTAAATCAATAAACACCAAATATACACATCAATATTTCAACGACCAGGCTAACACAATAAGGCTACACACGACGGTTTTTAGTAGCTCCTGCCACTGTATCTGTTATTTTCAAGCTGGAGCATGTCTAAACCCTTTCTGCCCCTCTAGGAAGTTCTTTCCTAAATCAATTTAAAAAAATTTTATTTTTTGCAATAAAAAAAAGATGACATTGATCACAGACGCCGATAACCATCTTTACACATAATTTCATGCTTCAAAGTATTCGAGGACAAGTGAAATGCTTTGAAGGGAAGAATGAAATGTCCTGCACCCAACTCATGAAGAGCCATTTAGTGTTAATTTGATCCAATCTACGCGTAAAGTTTGTGACGGTCTCGAGTGATCGATCGGGGGGTTGTTGGGTGTGTCGTGAAGAGCAATAGCTATGTCTCATTCAAACCTACTCGTTCGCTAGTAGCAGATCGAAACGTTGATATTTTTGAGAATTTAAAGGTGCAACACTACCTGCAACAGTTCTAATTTAACCTAATTTGGTTTATAACTTGATCCGATCTATCCATAAACCAAAAAAGATGTAACTTTTTCTAGGCTTGAACCAGATAGCAAACGATAATCACACTAAAGGGGGGGAAATTGCTATAGGGATCGATGAGGCTGACCTTTTTACATCTAGGAACTCAGTAGTCAAAATAAAACTGAGGAGGCGAAGCTCGAGGTCGCCGGGGGTGGGGGAGGAGGTGGAGGCCGACCGGAGCTTCGACGGCGGCGGCGGAGGAGGAGAAAATTTTTTTTTTTTTAAATCCCTGTTGGCTTCAGTTTCTCTTTTTATATTTTTCTTAGTGGGCCCACGTTATAGATATGGTAGATGGAAATGTCCGTCCACAACGGGGCCCACGTTAGGAAACAGGTTAGGGGGTGTTTGTTTTGATTTTTTTTTTGGGATTTCAAAATGGGATTTGAAATCCATAAATGATGTGGCTTTTAGGATTTGAAATTCATAAAGGGGGTTGTGTTTGCTTCAACAATATTTTGGGATTTGGAATGCTAAAACTTGTAATATTTTGTTTGTTTCATCAATATTTTGGGATTTGGAATACTATAAATTATATATTATAATATTATATAAAATTTTAATAACATATATTATATAATATATAATATATATATATATAATATTATAGATATATTATATATTTTATATATAATATATAATATATATTGTAATATATAAATTATATATTATTTTATATAATTTATATAATTTATATTATATATATATATTATATTATTTATATATTATTTATATATATAATATAAATGAATTTCAATAGTATAGTGATAATAGGTATCTGCAATTAGGATTAGGTATGAATATTCATGCCTACAGCAATTTACTGACAACTGGTTTACTAGCAAGCATGCACCATTGATATATAATATATCATGTATGAATCGGTATTATAAACCTATATAAGTATATGATATATAACTATTATATATCTGAATATACTAATACGCTATATATTATGATATATATCTATATTATAAGCTAGTAATATATATTTATAATTAAATTGAATATATATAGTAGTATATATATATATTATTATATATATATATATATATATAGTATAAGTAATATATTATATATATATATATATATATGTATATATATATATGTATATATTATAATGATATTATATAATAAAAATTATATGATATATATATCGGATATATATATTATATTATATAGTAGTTTATACTAACCTATGTTATTATGAGTATATTTATATTAGTATATATAAATAAGTATAATATTATTATATACATATCTTTTATCTATACTACTTATCTAAGTATATATAATATATAAAAATTATACATATCTATAGATAACATATCTTATATATATATAGAATAATATAATAATGATAATTCATATTATATTATATATAAAAATGTATATATCTTATATATGATATTTTATAAATAAATTGATATTATTAATATGATATTATATTATGAGGCATATGGGTATACTTGGCGGGGCCAAGGAGTCTTTTTGGTATGTTGATGGTGGCACATTCTTGGTCCCATACATCACACCTTGGAAATGGTGGGCTCCATCTTCAAGGCTTGTGATGTTATGACAAGATTGTGTCCAACAATCACTACAAAAGGATCCTTGCGGGTCCAAAGTATACTCATTTTGTTCTTCATAGTATTTATATCATGATACTATTTTATTATATATATAAATTAATATAATATTATATATACATCATGTAGTAGATTATATATATAAAATGGGTATATAAATGAGTATATATTAATATATGCTACAGTTTACATTTACTACAGCATGCAACAGTGATATACTAAGTAATAATATTTGTATATTACCTTATGTATATATATTATTATATTATATATACCCTATATAAATAGTATGATTGAAGTATATAGTCGTATAGACTATATACATATTCATAATTATTAATATATGTATATCCATAATAGTATAGTTATATATATTATAATACATATTATATTATATTATCATCTTATGATATATAATATATTATAGGGTTATATGAGATTACTATATATAATCAGCTATACTATATCAGCTGTCTTATATATATTTATATATAGGGGAGCAAAACTTGTGTCCACTTAAGTGGACATCCACTGAAACTTTTTAACCCTTTAGATGGTTTCCTAGGGATCCTTGCATTGATATGAAAGTGACTCTTTTATATTGTTAAATGAAGTGGATATAACAGTTGGTGGACGACACGTATTCACTATTTCCAGCCGTAAGGTTGACACCAAAGTTCGTTTCACCTTCTTATCTCATAACTACGTATATATAGTTAGTATATATAAAACAAGTATATATATATATAGTATTATAGTATATATTGATAATATATATCATATGATATATTATGATTTTATATATAATATATAATTAGTAGCTATTCAATAGATGTTTGATCTATGATTAAATATTCATATTTATTATAATAATTAAAAAAATAATAATAAATATAATTAAAATAACATAATAAAAATAATATAATACACTATAAAAATATAAATATAAGCATTAATACATCAATATCCAACCCACATCCTCTCTCAAGTGTAGAATTTCACAAATGCCTAAATATAATAGTTTTAAATATTTTGGGATTTGATATCCCAAAATTGGTTTTGAAACAAACAAAGTTATCGATTTCTAAAACCTTATATCCCAAAAAAAAGATGGAAACAAGAGAGAAGATTTCACAAATCCTAATAAAATATTATTGTTTTATAATTTAGGGATTCAATATCCCAAAAAAAAAGTGAAACAAACAAAGTTATGGATTTTTAAAACCACAAAAAAGCACTTTTTACATCCCAAAACTATCATATCCCAAAAAAAAAGCAAAACAAACACCCCCTTAACAAATCCCAACTTCTCCATTTCCAATAAAAACTCGACCATCAATCATGGTAACTTGATTGAACTAGAATATAACCCCTTTAATAGGAAATAAATAACTCAATAATAAGAGAAATAAAGCAATCAACTAATTTAGAGCAGCATATTCTTAGTGATCAAGTGAGGTTATATTCAGTATTTCTAAAAAAAAATTTGAAATGAAATGAAATGAAATGAAAACTCACTGGAGAAAGTTCTCCCATGGTTCCCGTTGTCCACAGCTGCATATAATAAATTGCTCAAGTCGGTCGGTCATGGGGAAGTCGACGTCGGCGTCTTCGATGTCGACATCGGGGCCTTTCGATGACGTTAGTCGGTCGGTCGGTGAGGGGGGATGTCAACTACAACGGTGATGGGGCTGGCGATTTCGGTGATGGGGATTTGATTTTGGGGTTAATAAGGGTTTTGGAATGGGAAGAGAGAGAGAGAGAGAGGGAGAGGGGGGTCACGAGGATGGGGATAACATATTTCGGTGAATTTTTTCAAAAAAGCCCCCGCCCGGTCACGAGCTCGCTTACAGTTGTCTCGGAGGATTTTCTCAAAAAAACCCCTGAAATCGCTGAAACAGATTGAATGCGTACGCACTAGTCCGCATGAGAAACGATATATATATATATGAGAAATATAGGTATGCTTGGTACCAAACATAAATTTTATGCTTGGTAGTGAGGTGGTTCAATCCCCTCCACTCATTCAAATGGGGAACCACATTCACATGAGTTAAGAAGTACATGAGGATATGCAACCATTTGAATGAGTAGAGGGAACTATGCTACCTCACTACCAAGCATAACTTTTTAAAATATCATCCTAGTTACATTTTAAAATATCAGAAGGAATAATATATATTTTTTAAAGATCTTGGAGGTCCTTGTTTCCTTTTAGGATATCTTGTGTTTATCATCTCATCGAATATTAGTAGGCCTCTTGTGATTTAGATGCTTTCACAAGGACCAGGCTAATTTTGAATTGGGAAGTAGCATGGGCTTTTATTCTTTTCTTTGTATCTCACTTCTAGATAGGAATCACATTCCTAAAATCAGTTATTGGGAGGGTTAAGTTTTTGGGGGAAGAGATTAAAAAAAAAAAAGAAAGAAAGAAAGAGTAAAGTAGATAATATGATCGATGAAGCATGAAGTTATTCAATAGAACAAATTCTCCCATCATTTCGTCCCTTTATTCTATTTCTTCTTGAAAAGCAAAGTCCCCCTTGCAGATAAAACAGAATGTAGGCTACACATGAAACTAACATTTATCGGGTACGTGCGCGTATGTATGTATGTATATATTTATGGTCACATAAATCATATTTTCTCGAAAGTCCTGAGTAAGATTAAAAAACTATATAACTAAAAGTTTCCAGACCCAATTGAAAAGTTCAAGTTTTTGGATCCCCTAATTAACCAAATAATTAACAAATAGTTTGATAACTGTTCGAGTAACTATTCGATCATATTCGATTCGGTAGTTCATTTCCTACTTGTTAGAATTGGGGGTGGAAACAAACCTCCGCCGGCGACGAGGAGCTCCGACAAGCTCCGACGAGTTCGATGGTCGCAGGCGAGCTCCGGTTGTCACAGGTGGCGTAGCCCAGGCGAGTTTCGACGGTCGCAGGCGAGAGCTCGAGCTGTGCGTTCGCCTCCCCCCAGAACTCTGCGTCACAGCGATGGCGAGCTCTGCGTTTTTGGAGGGGGGTCCGAACTCTGCGTTCGTGCGAAGCTGGCGTCGAAGCGACCTCTGCGTTCGCTCGAGTTTGGCGTCGAAGCGAACGCTGGCGACAGGCTGTCGCCAGCTCCTCCTCCTCATCCGCCTATAAAAGAAACCCCATCCCTAGGGTTTCGGTTGCTGAGCTTCCCCCCAGCAGCGTTTTCCCCAAATCGCAGCAGCGATTTTCTGATTAATCCCAGCTTTGAACAGTGTTTGAGGGGATTTAAGAGAGAGAGAGAGAGAGAGAGAGAGAGAATTGAAGAGGAGTTTGATTATGGGGTATTTACTCTCAAGTGGGTATTGAAAGGGTTCATACCCTGTTATTATTAACACTGTAGCTACAGTGTTTATTTGAGAAATCCCAGTTTAGGGATCTGCTCCTAAAATTGTAATTTCTTGTTGGATTAATAAGAAATTTACTGTGTGGCTCCCGAGGACGTAGGCAGTTGCCGAACCTCGTAAATCTTGGTGTACTTTTTTTTATACTGCGTTTCTGTTGCATTAGGAATTTCGGCGTTAAATTCCCAACACTACTAAATAAATATTTCTTAGTATTCGAGTTTACTAACGAATAGAATTTAACCAGATGTATATTCGATTCATTTGTCTATCAAATATTCGTTTAAAATTTGATCACTTATTATTTGTATTATTGCGCATATAATGTCATATTTTTAATCTATTTACAATTTATACTTAAGTTTTATGTACTGATTTTGAGACTTAAATAATCTTAAATCTATTTTCTAATGAAAATTTTGGTTTAAATATACATACATTATATATTATAAAGGAATAATTTTTATTTATGAATTTAAATATCATTTGAAAATCAAATTCTTTAGTGGAATAAATATACTTTGATATTTGAAAAGTATTCGTGAATATTCATGAATATTTATCAAATACCAAGTATTCGAGTTCGAATTCGAAAAACTCCATATATGAATATTAGAGTCCACATTTGAATTCGATAATTTTAAACAAATACAAATACGAACATCTTAGTTGTGAAGATGAGAAAGAAGAGAGTAATTTCACGCACACACTAAAGAGATTCATTCATTACTTAAATAGATAACAGCAGCAACAATTCAGTTAACAATTCAGTTAACAATTCAGTTAACAATCCACTAACAACCCACTAAAGAGATAAACTCCTAATAACTATTAACTACCCGATACCTACTAAATATCTTAACATCCCCCCTTAAACTGATTTCTGCAGAAAACAGTTTAGGAGAAAACAAGTAAATCAGAATTTCAGTCTCCTGAGCATGTCTTCCCTTGAACATCATGCAACGAACACATTCCAAGCAAACTTCTGAGATGCTCGAACAACGGTTGCTTGAGAGGTTTAGTCATAATATCAGCAATTTGAACCTCACTCCTGCAATATTCTAATTTAATCACATTCTCTTGACATAAATCACGTAGGAAATGGTACCGAACATCAATGTGTTTGCTCTTCCCGTGTAAAACTGGATTCCTTGAAAGCTTGATGGCAGAGACATTATCACAATAGATTGTTGTAGCATCTTGCTGATGATAACCAAGGGTATCCAACATTCTTCTAAGCCAAATTGCCTGGCAGGAACATGAAGCAGCTGCAACAAACTCAGCTTCCGCAGTGGATAATGTCACAATTTGCTGCTTCTTTGAGGACCATGAAATAGCACCTGAACACATTAAAAACACATCCCCTGAGGTGCTTTTACGATCATTTAAATCACCTGCATAATCACTGTCAGTATATCCGAAGAATGCTGATGTTGCACTTCTCTTGTAAAATACCCGAAATAACTAAACGTGCCTTCAAGTACGAAAAGATTCTCTTTGGCTGCTTCTGAAATGCATCTCAGTTGGAGCCTTCCATGTATCCTGCTAAATTAACTGCACAGGATCGATTATCATCAGGTCAGTGTAGTTAAGTACATCAACTCCAACGCATTTGCTTAAAAAGATTGTTTGTCAACTCTCTTCCATCGAGGATCAGTACTTAACTTTAACCGGCTCACTGTGTTCCAACAGGATTACAATTCATCATATGAAATCGTTATCAGCACCTCCTGAACATATTTTCATCGACAAATATAAATTACCAGCATGTAGATTGTACTACTTACAATGCCAAGATGTAGTGCATCAGCCGCCAAATCCACTCATGGTCAACATTCCTGCATCATAGATTGTTTAAAAACTCAAACATTCGAACATCACTAACCATGTGTAAATCAAGATCATGCAACATATAGACAACAAGCCAGTATTTTTACATCATTGCGCCAGACTTAACTATACAACGTATGTTCATATGGGCATCTCCAAAACCTTTTTGACCATGATATGATCTATGCGGCTTATACGTAAGCCGGAGCTTGTTCAGCCCATAAAGCGCGTTTCTTATATCTAAAAACTTTTCTTCATGCTCCTGCTGCAGCATAGCCCCTGGAGTTGATCCACAAACACCTGTTCTTGGCAATACCATGTAAAAAGCGATTTCACATCTAATTGAAATATACGCAGGAGTTTTTACAGACAAGAGAATTACCATCCCGACATCTGTTCTAGCCTTGCAACCGGTCAAACACTTCTTTTATAATCGAGCTCCGTACTCTTGCTTATTCCTTTTGCTACTAAACGAGCTGTACTTGTCAACGCTCTGCCGCTTTTTTCATTCAGTTTTTTTTAAAAACCCACTTCACACCAATAATTTCTGATCCTTGCGAGTCATCAGTGAGTTCCAAGGATCATTTTTCTCCATGGACTGCAATTTCAAGATCCATAGCTTTTGTGCCGATTTTGATCTTTGCTTGGCTCCATAAAAGAGAGGGGAGTACAATCTGCAAATAAAGCAAAGTGACAAGAGTATCATCATCAGAGAGTTCGAATCTGCCATTACATAATCGCATCCAAATCGGCTTGGCGCCTCCGAATACGATGATTTGAATCATTTGATCAGTTGACCACTTGGTGTCAATAAGTGGCTGGAGAATGCAGCTGCAAGCTGATCAGCGACTCCAAAGTGGAAGCAACAAGGAGATTGAGTGGACTTCAATCTCATCATCAACGTGCATCAATGTCCTGGAACTCCGTTGCTGTTTTACTGTTTTTGGACGAGTCCGGAACATTCTTTCCTCATCAAATATTACATCTCTGCTGATAATTACTTTTTCTCAGTAAATTGGAATTGATACAATTTTATGCTTGTGGAGTGTTCACTTACTCCCAGAAAAAAACTTCAAACCCTTTGTCATCGAAGCTTCTTCTCTTTTCATACTGGAATATGTGCATGAATGCTATGCACCAAACAACTTTAAATATGATCCACTGCTGGCTTCGCGTCCTCCCCAAGCTTCCTCGGGTGTCTTATCTTAACTAAAAAGTAGGACACCTTTCCAAAATAATGATGGATCCCACATAACAGCTTCAGGCAAAAACGTTTTGGAACTCCTCCTTAGCAAGCAGACTTCTAACCATGTTGAATAGTCGCGATCTCTCTCCAGATACACCGTTTTGTTGCGGTGTATAGGAAGCTGTGAGTTGCCTACGAATGCCATGCTTATCACAAAAAACATCGAACTCTTTTGAGCATACTCTCCTCCACGATCCAGTCTAAAGGATCTTAATCCTCTTCCGGTTTTCAGTTTCTACAGATGCTTTGAAGTTCTAAATGCATTAAAAGCTTCTGATTTTTCCTGCAAAATATATACCCATGCCTTTCTACTAAAATCATCATTGAAAGAAAATAAAATATTCTTTTTACCATTTTGACATTGGGTTAATTGGGCCACATATGTCTGAGTGCACCAAGTCCAGCAAGTTCTGAGCTCTCCATGCCTTTCCTTTTGAAATGGTCGCGATGTTGCTTTCCAACTATGCACTCTTCACAGACCTTGGATGGAGTTGTGATCATGGGGAGGCCTGTCACCATCTGGCTTTTGATATAGTGTCCTCAAGCCATTAAAATTAAGGTGCCCAAATCGATAATGCCACAGCCATGATGGATCATCTTCCTTGGCAACTAAACAAGCTTTAACAGTCTCAATTTTAGTGGAATAGCAGGTTTGAGCTCATATGTATGACAGCAATGCTGCCTCTTTACAGGATCATATATCTCACAAGACCATCCTGTATAGTGATGATATATCCCTTCTTTTGGCAATTGCCCAACACTTAACAGATTAGTTTTCAAATCAGGCAACATAAAACACGCTGAAATTGTTTCAGTAAAACCATTTTAGTTTTTATTGAATATCTCCTTTTCCCCATCACATTTAATTTAGAACAGTCACCAAAACTGATAGTGGTACGAAAATCTTCATTAAGGATGAGAAAGAGGACTTACAGCCACTCATATGATTACTACACCCTGTGTCAACGTACAGGTATCAAATCCAGGTTTCTTTATTGGGCATGAAATGCCATTAAAAGTGTTTCTTCTTCCCTTCTCTCACAAAGTTTGATTTTTCTCCTTCTCTTATCTTTCGGCAGCTTCGTATAGCATTCATTGCTATAATGACCATAGTTGTGACAGCGATAACATGGATATTCATCTTATCAGTATGTTTATAACTACCTTTTCCTTTGGCTTGCTGAGAGGCTCGGCGATGAACGATCTTCGTGCCTGAAATTCTGTTGATGTCTACCTCCATTGTGGTTGCCTCGACCTCCTCTTCCTCGTCCTCTACCACCTCTACCCTGCCTCTTCCTCTGTAGCTTAAAAATCATTAAAGGTAGAGGCTTCAAAGCTTGTTCTTCAGATGTATTATTGTCAGTGGTGCTGCGATTCAGCTTCTGCTCATGCACCAGTAAAGAGCTTTGCAACTCATCGATTGACATTGTGTCAATATCATGAGATTCTTCAATGGAACACAACAATATAGTGAATTTTGGGAGCCATAGATCTCAATATTTCTCTACAACAGCACCATCTTCAATCTTCTCACGCATGAATCCTCATCTTATTGCAATCCCCGTAACTCGTCCAAATAACAGAGACCAGACTCTCCGTTTTTCATTTGAAGAGTCTCAAAATCTCTCCTCATTGCTTGAAGATGTGCACGCTTTACTCTTGCTGAGCCTTGAAACTTCTTCTTCATAGAATCCCATATATTTTTTGATGTATTTTTCTGAATAGTCTCTAAAACTTCACGATCGATTGATTGAAAAAGAAAATTCTTTGCCTTGAAATCTTTCAAACGCGATTCCTCAATTTTGTGCTTTCTGGCATCTGTCAATGCTTGATACGCTGCCTCTAGGTGCTGTAAAACCCTTATCAACAACCTCCCAAAGCTCTTTAGATCTGAAGAAATTCTCCATTAGCATACTCCAATGATCGTAGTGACCATCAAAGTGAGGAATTGCTGGTTGGATAAAAGGCTTTCTCTGTGGCCATTTGTAGAACAATTTCTACTCCTATACTCTCAGTATTTGTTTATCAGTTATCACCTCTGCAGAGGCTCTGATACCAGATGTGAAGATGAGAAAGAAGAGAGTAATTTCACGCACACACTAAAAGAGATTCATTCATTACTTAAATAGATAACAGCAGCAAGCACAATTCAGTTAACAATTCAGTTAACAATCAGTTTAACATACCAGCTAACAACGCGCACTAAAGAGATAAACTCCTAATAACTATTAACTACCCGATACCTACTAAATATCTTAACATTAGTATCCGATTCGATTCGATCATTTACCACCCCTGGCTGAGGATGAGATTATTCTCACATGCCTAATTGAGAAGGAAGTCAGGTTTGATCTCATTTATATTCTGAAGCCTCAAGGCATGATACAGGAGTACAAAACTTAGCAGGGGAAGGTACATACTATTCATTAGCAATATGTCATTTTTATGCTCACTAATCTAGTAGATAATTAATTATACACATATGTCTTGTTCGTGGTTAATTATAAAAATTTGATCAGAATGATTTGAGAAATTTGCACTTTAAAGAAGGGTCAACCAACTTGCTTGGTAAGTTTCTTCGTTTTCATTTACAACCGTCAACAACATGAAGTGAATAGGGAAAAGATTTGCATGTTGTTATTCCAAACTTTGAATTGTTCAGAAAAATAATCATAACTACTTGCTTTATTATAGCATTAGTAAGTTGTGCAAGAAAGAAATATCGGTTTTTAATGCAATAAAAATGTCACATTGTGTACATAAAACCTGTTTTATTTCTATATGTTTTCCCCTTACTTCTAATCATTTTATGAAAGGGTAAATTGGAACATACAAAAATTGATCCCACATGAATAATTACTTGATTATCATTCCCATTAAAAATTTCAAAAAAAAAAAAAACTTATAAAAATATTTAGGAAGTCATTTTTATAAGAAAGTCAAAAATGACCCACTAATGAAGGATATCATTAAAAATATTTAGTGATTGATCAGTATATATATATATATGTAACTCAATTTGTAGACACTTAACATTATGCTATGATAGAGAAAAAAAAAAACCGAGAAATTAAAGAGGACAAATTCAAAAGTAATTTGAACAAAGTCTGCAGAGGATTCGGAGCCCTTTGACGAGGCTCGTGAACCAACTAACAATCCGAGAGAAAACTGTGGAGAAAATTGTGCAGCCAAACAACACAGACTCTATCAAAAGCTTCTTCTCCTTAAAATAAATCTGCAATCTTACAAAAATTGTTTCACAAAGAATTGTAGGGGGAAAAAAATTTATTTGCTTTCCCGTATTTTCATATTATGGCGTTGTATTCTGGGAGGAGAATTCGCATTAACCTGAAGAAAACTCCGTCTCCTACTATCTATTTTCTATCAGAAACCAAGCTTAGTCTGCGGTTGCATTGTTGTCCATGATCGAACCCTGAACCTTGCGCAGTGCTCGACGAGGGGGTAAAAAAGGCTGAGCACAGTGCTCGACGCTTTACGAAGGCAGGCTCGCAGAGACGAAGTATACTTGGCTGGACGTTTCTTCAGCATTGCCGTTTACTCATTATCTGATGACCACCGAGCACAAGGAACTTGTTGAGTCGAGGCCCGCCGTGAGCTTGAAGGCGAGAGCTTCGATGTCGTTCGGAGGGTGAATGCATGAGTCTGTCAAGGAATGACCCTGCACATGAATAATACTGGTTTTTTGTGTTTTTCTGGTGTCTGAATCCTCAGTTCAGGTGCTGGTTTTTGATTTACCATGATGTTTGCAATTTTGCATATGCCTTTGATGTCTACATGAAGACTACCTGTATACTTACAGTTCTAGGTAACTACGATGAGATAAAACTTATCAAGGGAGTGTATGTATCTAAACTAGAGAGTGAATTTCACAAATCCCCAATAAGTTTTGGTGTTTCTCGTTAACCCCCGATGAGTTTAAGAATTTCGCTTTACCCCGAATAAGTTCAGGAAGTCCAGAAAAGCCAAAATGCTCTTAACTTTTTTTTATTAAACCTCCATGACGACATGTTGCGTAAAATATCATCAATTTAGAGTTTTGAAGGAGGAAATCGCCAAAAACAAATGTTGGAGATTGGAAGCTCCGAACCTGAGCAGGAAGGAGGAAGAAGAGGGAGAAGTGATTTCAGAACAAACAGTATTAGTTTTGCGGTTTTTTCTGACCGAAGCAGTTCGAGGTTTAATTGAAATTTCTCAAAATCGCTGGGCGGTTAAGTGAAAAATGCCATACTTATTAAAGAATCTGTGAAATTTACCAAGACTAAACTAGTCTGATACCGCAAACTGAAGAACATAAAACATTGTGTCAGGATATATATGAAACTTCTGATCATAGTTGAGCTTATAAAGTCGTCTGTAATCATATTGATCAAATGTAACCTTTAATCATAATGATCAGATTCAATCTCCTCATCAAATCTAGTTGTGCAATAAATCACTCTCAACATCTACACATCAAACAGTAACGTCAGGATATGAACTCAAGATCCTCAACTGGATTTCTCGAAGGCTAACAGAGAAATCAAGAGCATCATTCATCGCCTTTCTAGCTCCGATCAGAGCCTCCTCCATCTCCTTATGACTCAAATACTGAGAGTTCATCTGATACAGGATTCTGTCGTGTCTCTCTTGGAGCCGAAGCAGCCTCTCCTCTGCTTGCTCAAGAGCTTCGGTCATGAGCCTAAGCTTCTCTTTGACGATTTGTCGCCTTTGCCATTTTTTGAGCTCATTGAGAAGTATGAGGGAAGAGAAACCTGCAACAGATAGGAAAATGGGCATTCCCATGGAGATCCATTGGTGAGGAGATGAAGTATGTGGGCATAAAGGTAGGTAGAATAGATACTTTTCCTTTGAGAGTTGCCAAATCAAGTAGAGAAAGTTGAGGGAATTTCTTTGCACAGACCACCTGCGTAGAGTACTGCTGTTTTGTGCTTGCTACCTCTGCAGTTTCATCGATGCAGACAGACCCCTTGGGTTATTTTTTTTTGACTATTTTCCCCTTGGTGAAATTTTGGCAGGTGCTGCTCGTCGGTGAAATTAGTGAGTCTATCTGAGGATGAAAAAAGTCTAAAAAAGATCGACCACCGGTCTATCTGCAAAATATAAAGACAGGGGTAGCAAGTTTGAAACAACAATATTACAGGGGCCCATGTGCAATTAACCTCTTAAACATATTGGAGAAGAGAATCTATCTGTTGAAGCCAATTTAAACTTTATTTTGGATGCAAGTTTAAGCAATAGGAATTCTTTGCTTTGAGGAGTGGATATCCATAACAGATTAGGAAGTTAAGGAACAAAAGTTTTAGGAGGAATTTTAGGTGCTTTAACAAGAGCTCATTGTTTGTCCTGAATAGCCAAATTTCACTTGATATAAAAGTTTTAAAAGAAATAAAGAGAAAAAAAATATTCACGAGGAATAAATGAAATGACATCAATTCAAATCCTAGAACTTCGAATTTGGGAGAGATTAAAATTTCTAACCTTTTCTTAGATACATGGATCCTACTTCCTAGCGATTCACATGGTTCAAGAACCAATCGATATTTCACAATCAAACGTGTAATAATGCTCATAGCAACGAACCTTATATATATCTCATACATTAACAATAATTGCTAAAGAGGATTTAGCATATGATACATTCTTATGGCTGCTGATTTAAATTGGCTCAGTCGATGCATAAAGCAAATGAATAATTCTAGGCATTATTGACACACATTCAAACAAGATTTACTAAATCATCATACTTGAGCGTACCTTGGAGCAATGAAGAATCAATCTCATGTTCCCATTTATCATCTGCAAATTTCTTATTTTACATTGTATACCCAGCGTCGATCGTAAATCATTTTAGGCATTCTTGCTACAGTTGTGAGGTTGTTGCTCATCCCCCCTCAGTCACCACCACCACCACCACCACCTTCCTCCACGAGAAGCGGTTGGAAACCTCGATCCAAGCTATCCACCTTCAAATGTGGAATATCGTTTATCTTCTTTGTGAAGGAGTGGTGATAAAGGGACAGGTGAAAGATGTCCATGATGGTGAATTTGCCTCCGCCAAGGTACAAAATTGAAATACCCGATAAATTGTACGACTTTTTTTTTTCATGAGGTGCCTGTATGTCAGGAATTAAAATGCAAAATCTCACTTCATATGCAAACATCTTCGTCCTTGTTCCCTTGATCAGCTTACTTCTCAGCTATGTGACAACATACCATCTTGTGGGATTCTGCAATCGTTTAATCAGTATTATTGTTTTGAACTTACTGATCTTGTAGTAGCGAGTTTCATTCTTGCAGATAGACCCCCCGGGGTTAAATTCTTTTGACTTCTTTTATTTATCGTCAGATAAACATTAATTTCACTCACAGGCAATACCTGCCAAAATTTTTACCAAGGGAAAAAGAGTCAAAAATTTTAACCCTGGTGGGTCTATCTGTGACAATGAAACTAGCTAGTAACAACAATACATGCAGAAAAACTGTATCATTCATTAACGGGTTATTTTAGACTTTTGCAGAGAACATTTTCAGGAAAATAATATCGTGTCTTCACAGAGATGATCAGGAGGTGTACATGCTAATAAGATAGAAGATGAGCTATAAGTAGTGACATCCCCATAGTACAAGGATGCATCTTGAAGTAATTAACCCTTTAATAAACTTTTAAAAAAAACCTTCCTAACTTTTTTTTGAAGTATTTTTTTAACTTAAAAGGAAAATATGGTCAAGTAATTAGTCATGTGCCATCATTTTTTGTGTTCCAATTTACCCTTGCATAAAATGATGAGAACTTGGGGGAAAACATGAAGGAAAAACTAGTTTTCTGTAGCCAAAATGGCTATTTATTCATCAAATAATTGATACTAAAGTACTTACAGAACGTACTATACTAGATACAGATTATTCTTTTTGTGATTTAATAAATTATACCAAGTTAACATTAACATACCATAACTCATAATATTCATTCACAGTTTACATATTGAATTTAGTTTTCTGCACAAGTTAAAATTAGAACAATATATAACATGCAAATCCTATTCCTACCTTATACTCATTTCATATGCATGTTTGATGATGGCCTAAAAATGAAAAGGAAGAAACTTACCATGGAAGTTGGCTGAAAGTGTAGATTTTTCAAATCATTCGGAACAATTTCATGTAACAAGAGCCAATTATATCAGCGCTAGGGTAAACTTCAGGTATACCCCCTAAAGTTTGGGCCAGTTTGAGATAACACCCTAAAGTGTACAAATGTCACTTAACCCACCTAACTTTGGGGCTAGTCAAAATACCCCCAAACATTTTCAATTTTGTCAGTACACCCCCACTGACCGTGTTACCTCCAATTTTTTTTAACACGCCCCAAATTGCAAATTCTGAAACCTGCAGGCTCTTAACATTATTTTCAGAATACCCCATACTTCAGACAAAGTTCCAAGAATACCCATTATGACATTAGGGCGTCTGTTGGAAAAAATGCAAACATATGGGGAGTTTTGCGACAAGAACAAGATGTTTTTTCTTTTTTTTAATGGGTTTTTTTTTTTTGGGGGGGGGGGGGGCGGGCCGGTTTAGGTCGGTTCAATGTACATTTATAAAGTTCAGCGGGTTATCTCAACATGGGCTAAACTTTGAGAGGGTAATATCAGATTCACCCTTAGTACTATATGTTGAAAATTATGGTTAAATCTAGAATTAAACAGTGAAATTATAATGTGATTTTAAATTTTTTCTTCCACTGCTGTGCGTTTGAGAAACGATGTGCTTAAAGTAAAATTTGGCCTACTCCGATGCAAGAATCCCAAGGCCAAACTGTTTTTAGGAACAACACAGTACTCTGATGTGCACCAACCCAGTACTGTCAAGATCTCCTCGATCTATAAGATCTTTCGGTCAAAACAAAGATCTCCTCGATTTCAGAACTTTTCGGTTCAAAACAAAGATCTTCTCGATCTCAGAACCATTTCGGTTCAAAACCTTTCGGTTTTAAGGACAAGTTCCTACGGGCACAGTTTCTGCAGCAGCAGCACAACAACAACAACGTCGATCCGATGTTCGTTTTCCAAGCTCGCGTGTGTATACCGATGTTCGTATTCCAAGCTCGCGAGAGTGTGTTCATGAGCTGCCTAAGGACGCTATTTATAGGCCTTTAAGGCCAGCTCAAGAGTCACTCGTAATTAATGTGACTGTTACAATTCTCAATGACAATTAAGATTGTAACATTAATGCATTAAATTTCTCTAAATACTGTTGTAAATGTTGCACGCAGTAACTCCTGAATACGAGGCAATCAATGGACGACTAACTACGAAACGCAAGGGTCACGTCTCAGCAAATCAGACGATCGTCGAACGAGTGAACCTCGTATGACAGACGAACCTCGTCAAACATCTTCAAACAGGCGAACCTCGTATGACAGATGAACCTCGTCGAACGAGCGAACATCGTCAAACAGACGAACCTCGTCGAACAAGCGAACCTCGTCTGAATTCGAGAACGCTAAGGTCACACTCTCGTGTGAATACGTAGCTCGTCCGCATGCTGCGAAGCAGCATGCGAGGCAACCTTCGTGGTGACCATAGTGGTAGTCAACGTGACGCCAAACAGCGCCACCTTACCCCGATGCCTCGGTGCGAAGTGCAAAGTGCGCCTAACAAAGCGCCTCAGTCCGATTAGCCCCGATCCTCGGTCCATTGGCCTACGACCCACGACACACGACCCACTTATGAGGGATTAATTCAAATAAAACACTTCTCGACTTGCCGTTGGCAAGCCTCGAACAAGGGACCTTTTGAAACACCAAAACATTATCTTTTCACTAGGCTACTAAGCATTTATGAAAAATACTTGTAGTTAATATATATATAGTTTGAAAACTTATTTTGGAAAGCGGTTTTGATCAAAAAATCTAGCACTATATATTATAGATTAGAGAGCACAACAATTACATTAACGCTAGCAGTATATGTGTATCTTTTTCTTGTAGTCCTCCTTGTTCAAGGAGGGAACAGGAATGAGCTTAACCACAACTTCCTTCTCAATTAGGCATAGCCGCTATCTTGAAATTATCTGGGGATTAAAAAACCTGAACTTTTTCCATTGGATATCGTCAAAATATTAATTATATATATAGCTTGCGATCTTTCTAAGGACATTCGAAAAAAATGCGCGTGGATGCGTGCGTACGTGCGTTAGGTCGCTAGGTCGTGTTTGTCTACACACACGCGCGCAAAAAAATGTTCATTTTGTGCGTCTCATTTTGTTTATTTCAGAACTTTGATTCGCAAGAAGAAAAATAATAAAAGGACGAAAAAGATGAGAGAATTTGTTCCATTTAATAAGTTCATGCTTTATTGACCATATCATCTTTTTTATGTTTTTTTTTAGTTCTTTTCCCCCAGCCTGAACACCCCACAACTACTTTCAGAATTATGATTTCCATGCTATAAGCTAATAGAAAGAAATTAAATAATACAAAAAACCAGGCTCCTAGACAACATGATCCAAGTAAAAGAAGAAATCAGAGAAACATTAGATTCACACATTTGTACAGATGACAACATCGCTAGCAAAGCTCAGGAAGACTTTGGCCATGCTAATTGTTATCCTGTTTCACAAAACACATAAGAGTCGATGGCCAAATGGATTCAGGTGATCCGGGGTTCAGACAGATATCTGGTTCACCGTTCTGAGCCATGGATCGCCCAAGCCCCTCCATTCGTCGACTCTATGGGGGGTTGTTCAACTGGATCACGTTCGGCATGACCAAGTCGTCATGAGCACTAGTATAGATATGACCGTGCGTAGCAGTCAAGGAAGATAAGATGACAAGACTAAAGAGTCTTGTGTTAGATTTAGCTCAAAAAGTCAATGTATCTATACTCTTCTCTTGACGAACGATGACGTTTGTGGCGGGAGCTAGTCTAAATGTGAATTCAATAGCGATCGATGCATCTATACTAAAGGAAAATATTGAAAAAATATATATATTTTTGTAATTCTTATAATTAATGGCGATAGTTTAAACATAGGTTAGTTTGAACAAGTCTATTGAAATATTATCCAGTCCCAAAATATCAACAAAAATTTTGCCATGCATCTACAATACAAGTAAAATAGGTGTTTCTGAAACAAGATTCGTAACTTATTAAATAACCATGGAAGCCATGAAATCTAAAGATTTTGTTAAGCACAAACACCATGAGGGCCATTTCAAATCAACACGGTATTCATCCAAATGGCATAACAACGTAATGAACAATAATAAAGAAAGAATTTAAATCGAGCAATCAATCATGGATATTGATATGAGAAAATTAATTAAGAAATTGATGTATATGAACCTACTAACGAGCAAACAAATTGAAAGATCCATGTATGCATATGTCTGGGTATTTAAATCGAAACATGAACGAGAAAAATTAGACATTGGAATAGAGTACTTTTTTGTGGGGCGAATGCTTGCCAACAAACCTTCTCCTCTAGATTCTAGTGAGAAAAAAATGTGATGACAAAGGAATGGGAGAGGTTTGTTATAAAGGAATTGGGTTAGATTTCCCATAGTTTTAGGATTTCCCTTTGTTTTAATAAACTTCTATGGTTTTCTATCCATGAGAACTGTGCGGAGAGAGTTGAAGCGGTTTGGATCTTTTCTAAGACTTAGATTTAGATTATGTAGGTAAATTGGATAATTGGGTTTAATTCTAATATTTGAGCTTGAAATCCAACTCTAATGGTTATCAAACAAAATCAAATAGATCCCTCCATTAATGTCAAACTAGTATTTCGGTGCACGCGACTCGTGCATGACTGGAACCTGGAAAGTATTATAGTCCACTTGTCCATGGAACAAAATTTTGGTGGGTTTTGTGTATTTACCTAATTATCAATGGCCATTTTAGACTTTTGCCAAGAACATTCCTACTCTGGGAAAATAATACTGTCACGAAAATCAGGAGGTATACATGTGCTATGATAGAATCAGGGCGATAAATAGCAACATCCCCATACTACAGGGATGCATCTTCAAGTAACCCATTAGTGAACTTAAGAAAATAGTATACATAAAAATGATTGTTTTCGTATTTTTACCTATAGTATCTTATAGGTATAGCAGATTATGATTTTGTACCCAAACTCACAAATATTCATTTACAGTTTACATACTAGAATTTACTTTTCTGCGCAAATGAAAATTAAAACAAGAACATGCAACCCTATTCCTATTCACTTCATGTTGATGATGGTCATGAATGAAAATGAAGAAACTTACAAAGGAAATTGGCTGAGCTTTCTCCCAAGCAGAGATTTTCCAAATCATTCAGATCAATTCTCTGTAACAAGAACCACATACGGGTATTATCTACTAAATTACAGAGCACACAGTTACACAATGCTAATAGTATGTACCTTTTCCTTGTTACCATCATAGTTCTTCTGGCCCTGAGGCATCAAGTGGAGAACAGGAATGAGCTCAAACTCAAGTTTATTCGCAATTAGGCATGTTAGAATAACAACGACCTGGACACCAAGAGGAGATCCAGAAACCTGAACTTTTTCCATTGGATCTTGAAATGTTTAATTATATAGCCTGTAATCTCACTCAGGATTTTCGAAGAAACTGATGCGTATTAACCTACTAATGAACATACAAATTGAAAGATGCATTCATGCATGTGTCAACGTATTAAAGTAGAAACGTGAATGAGATAATATCTTAAATTGAAATATCATGACGTATATCTAACATGTATAACATGAAATAAAATGAATGTAATTTTGGTATAGCCTAAGATTAATTGAGAGAGAGGAGGGTCCAGATTGATGCTTGCCCAGCCCTGGAAGAAGACCCCCTTGCTAAAGATCATCCTCCTTAAACTTTGGCTGAGAAAGAATGAGATGGCAAGGGAAGGGAAGAGGGTTTATTATAAAGAAATTGGGTTAGTTAGATTTCCTTAGTTTATAGCCTGTTTGGATGAAGGGTAGAGAAGGGAAGGGGAAGGGAAATTTTGGTTTACCTTTGTTTAGTAGTTCCATTTAGAAGGGTAGAGGAGGGGAATGAGGGGGGAAATTGAACTAAAATCTTACCCTTAAGTTTAGTCAACTCTAATATAATCAACCAAGACTCTAAAAATGTCGCTTGACACCCTTAAGTTTGAGGTGCTTCTGAAAAATCCTCAAATGTTTCCAATTTTTTCAACTAACCTCGATGGTGTTTGATGGGGTACAATAAACAATCCTTTTCTTATTGACACGCTAATTATTAATCAGTTACTTTATAATCAAAATTAAACCTAAATTGGGCAAAGTTCATGTTGAGTATCACATGTGAATATACGAAAGAACATTCTCACACTAGCATAGCAGGAGGTCTTAAAGTGCCAAATTTGAAAAACTTCAGAGTAAATAAATGCTGCAAAAATCAAGTGAGGGCATATAAGTGCAAAGTGAGGGAAACTATATGGTATTTAAGTGCTATTAGTCTGTTTTTTTGGTATCCTAACTCATAATATTTATGTCAGTCAACACATCTATCAATCGATCTATCTAATCAAGACCGGGATTTACTTTTTTTTAACGCACAAGTGAAAAACATAATAATAACATGCGTGCAATCCTATTCCTTCACACTGCACGTTGATGATTGTCACAGATGAAAAGGAAGAAACTAAGAAATAATGGTGATAGAAAAAATACGATATCCTACCAAGAAACTTGGCTGAACCTTCTTCGAAGCACGGAGATCTTTCGATTCGTTCAGATGAATTTCCTGTAACAAAAAACCAAACATATAATGAGGATTATGTACTAGATCATAGAGCACAACAGTTACGCAATGTTAATAGCGCGTAGCTCTTCCTGGCTAAATTGAGGCGTCAAGTTGGGGACAGGGATGAGCTCAAACTCTACTTCCTTCTCGGCTGGGCACGTCAGGGTAACAGTGACATCAAAGGCTGCAAGAGATCCAAAAACCTGAACCTTGGCCATTGGATCTTGAAATGTTCGATTATATAGCAAGTAATCCTGCTCAGGACTTCGAAGTTTGAACATATGTAAATACACACACAAACACGATATATTACCACCCATTTATTCGTGCAAGGAACTTTGCTTTGCTAGAAGAAAAATAATTGAAGGACGAAAAAAAAGAAGAGAATTTATCCTGGGTAAGCTTATTCATCCCTTCCTCCAACTTGAACCACAGATGACTACTAATAGTCTTCTACTTGGATGGCATTGCCGAGGAGGTTGGATTGCATGCATATATACTAGTACAAGGATCATGTACGATGTGATACAGAAACGTGAATATGCAAAATCTCAAAAAAGAAACATCCATAGATGGATAATTCACATATACATCAATAAAACAAATAGACATACACAATCATAAATCAAATATAAAATCCAACACGCATTTGTAGGTAAACTCATTAGCGAACATAAAAGTAATTTTTGAAATTCAATATAGTACTAAAGCAGCGGCAAAAACTCAGATCATAAGTCAACATTTATTCTAATCTAGATATTAATTGGTAATACTAGCTAATGATCATAAATCACCCTATTTCTTAACATAAGAGAATAACTGGCACTAACACAATCTCGGACAACAACTGCACTGAGAAAATACAGCAACAATTATCCTCATCATACATTTTATATATATAATAGAACTTTACTCAAAATTTCCACACATCATCATATAACTTCAAAAATTAAACTGCAAAGCAACAAGCATTACAAGACCGCGAAAATTTAGTTGTCTAGGATAAACAACAATGACAATCAGGAACCACAGCTCATACTTGCAATCAATAGTTACTTCATGTTGCCAGGTTCCAACTCTTTGTAGCTGAAACTTTAGGTAAAGAAATAACCAAATCGAAAATGGAATAAGACTTTCTTGTGCTCTGGATTTTGAGATATGTGGATTAAGGAGTTTCAGGTATAGAGTTCTCAGTTTTATGTTCCTCCTTTGCGCAGCTGAATCCTTGGCAAACAGACAACCAGATAATAAGCACCAGGAGAAAGATGACAGCAAGAACCACCAACTTGATTTTCATATTCTTTAACCACATTTTTCTACGAACTTTGGTCCCCTGCTTTCTGAAATCTTGAGCCTGGAGCAAGACCAGAAAATAAGTAGACGATATAAACTGTATGAAAACTCAATAGTGCATAAGTTTAGTTGTTTCAGTATATGAGGTTTTACCTGTGAATGCAAATGTGTCGTCTTTTCAGCAAGATCAGTAAGCTTCTCTCCTCGATCAACAGACTGAAAGTAGATCAATTAGGTAAGCTCAAATGAGAGTTGTTCTTGTTCATGGAAAATAGTAATACGTCAAATTAGTACAGTAGAACCATTATAGGTGAATGCTTTTTGTAGCATCTCAAATAAAGCTCAGATTGCAGCACTATAAAGTGATTACAGCAATCGAAACACAAGTAAATGCATATGCAGATGCTATCTGACATCTACAAAAACACAAATGCTTGTAAAAGAATATGTGCATATCGATGAAGGTTCCAGGTCCAAGCTACTTTTCTTGGATTTGATTCTACATGCAAGTTTATGACGAATAGGAAGGCAAGATAAACTACATACCTTTTCAATATTTTCTAGCATAATACTTTTGATCTCTGAAACTTGGGCCTTAACTTTTGAAACCTTTTCTATTTCTTCAGCATGTTCAACAATATACTGCATATGTTCCTTTATAACTGGTCTGCAAATTAACAGACAAACTTGATATCATGGAAATCCTAAGAATATACAGAAGTTGGATGAATCTCATGGCAAAAACATTGGCAAGTGAGCATACCCAAATTCTTTATTGAGACTTTTGGCAGATGCCGTGTCAGCTTTACCACCTCCGTATTTCTTTCTGAAGTCTACTTTAAGCCGCTCCAGGAAGGCAATGGAGACATGTCTTGGAACTGATTCTTTGGCAACAACACAATATGCTGGCAGATAAACAAAAAAAATGAGGCTTCATAGAACTTAGATCTCTTATATATTATGAAAATTAGCCATGTTAACAGATTTAGAACATTCTTCTTCATAAAACACTGCTTTTGATTTATGTACTGACAAGCTGGCACAAAAACTTCATGGAAGATATTCGTTGTCTGGGTTCAGTTATCCAGTGTCATTGGGTTGTTAGGGTGTTCAACGGTGTGGTTGACACCAACTTATCAAGGGAAAGCAAGATTGTAAGCCTTGCTGCAATTTCCCACCTAAGCAGTTAATTATTTACTAGCCCAACTTAACATAAGCCACTAGTTCACACGACAAATTTGGGCACCTTGCTCCCCCTACATTCTGCTTGTGTCCATATGCATTGGTTGTGAGGTCTACGGATACGTGCTATGTTTTCTTGACAGTTGAATTTATAGAGTCATGCATTCACAAATAAAATGTAAGTAAAAATAATAAACGTAGAAGGATAATAGGAAGTTGATTAAGTGAAGAACTTTAGACAAGCTTAAAATAAGGATCTTATTAGCTAATGGGGAAAGCCAATCATCATTATCATCACTACCTAAGCAATTTTGCACGAACACGGGATTCCCTATGAAACAAAGCTAAGAAAGCTCAAAAAAAGTCGCAATTTTTTTGAAATTCATTATGGGCCCCACGCTCTATAGGAGTTGAAGCAAATTCCTCACTCATACGACTATGCGCAGGTGATGTCCTGCTATAAAACCTTCACGGCCAGGTCCCTCAACCAACAAACAAGCCGATGTTACCTAAAATATATAAAAAAAATTAAGGCAAAAAAACAAGCTCAAAAATAAAAACCCTCATTCTTTTGAGGTGGGTTCAATTCTAGATTCCTCATATCTTTAATTGAACCCTCATCCTTTTCTTTCTTAATTTTTACTTTTCTTTTATTTTTATTTTCTTGATTTTTATTTCCTTCAATTTCCTTTCTTTCCTTGTGATTTCATTTATTCTTTATCTATCGCTCTCAATATCATTTTTTACACACAATCATTCTCATTCTCTCCATCTCTCCACAATCACATCTATCATCATTTTACACACAATCATTCTCATTCTCTCCATCTCTCCACAATCACATCTATCATCACTCCTAATTGTCATGCACACAACATAAATTCTCATTCTCTCCATCTCTCCACAATCACATCTATCATCACTCCTAATTGTCATGCACACAACATACAAACCGATTCTAATAATTTCCTACAAACACCTTCCTTGTGGGATCGATAACTTTTTATCGATAACTTTTGAAATGTCTTTATCTGTTCTGAACTGATCATGCTTCCGCTTCTTCACATTAGAAGTGTGAACGGCATGATATAAGATCATGGTTGGCCATTTAAAGTATTTCAGGCCAAACATAATTACTACGTTACACAACAGTCTTGAGTCACTGAGCACATAAATTCCTAGGAATCATATGATTATACAAACTAATTTTCCTGTTAAGACTGAAAAACAAAACCCAAATCGTTCATAGAAACAACCCTTCTAATGGTAATAAAGTAAAATAGCAACCAATCCAGCTCACCTCATCCAAACTCCGCCAACATCTCGCAGATATTTCGATGAAATTTTGAGAATGATGCCACATTATTCATGTAACATGAAATTTTGCTTATTTTCACATGCACTCGAATCAATTTATCCCCAAACTTTGATCCGATAGCAAACAAGACGGCACAGAGAAATCAACGGGTTCAATATCCTACAATCATTATTCCTCGTCTAGCCAAAACGTCATCAAACCCTTCCAAAATTTCGCGGAAATTACAACATCAAACAGCAACCGTCTCAATTCTAGCTCAAAATTCCAGCTTAATAAAATTCTGCAGCTTTTACTTCCTAATAAAATTCCTCTCCAAATCTAACAAAATTACACCTAAAATCTGTCGAAATCCTGCGAGCGAACGACTCACCGTACCCATCGTGAACTAGGAAGTTGAAGGTGTGGTGATCGCAAGAGTAGGTGAACTTGTTGTTGGAAGAGGGGAGCTTCTGCAGGCACTGGGCGGCGATCGCCGGGAAATTCCCGGTGAACTCCGTGAACTCGGCGAGCACCATCGTCCCCCTCGCGACGAAGCTGTAGATGAACCAGCTCCCCTCTTCGCCTCCCTTCACCATCCCCGACCTCAGATGAATTAGGGTTAGGGTTAGGGTTCCTTGGATTTTATTGAGAGAGAGGGTTCGTTGACTTTGAGAGGAGGCAAAGGTCAGGATTCAGGTGACTGGGGTCGACGAGGGTCCACGCTGGGAGGGAACGAGCAGGCTGGCGGTGGGATCGCTGCTGTTACGGACCAACACGAAACAGCGCCTCTTGACCACTCGCAAGAGGACGCGTGCCGCTAAGCTTGTGGGTCCCGCGCTCTTGTACCCCGGGGCAGAATTCCCGGGTTTGGATCCTTTGCTTTGCTTGCGGAGAATCCGCGAGAACTCACCCCTATAGAAATCTAGCTGCTGTAAAAGCTTTGTATTATCATTTGGAGAATTGCGTATTTTCTTAATTGTCCTTGATCTGTTTATTTTGTAGTTTCCTGAAATCATTTGGAGATCCCGATCGATTTGTTGCTTTGTTTTTATTTATTGTTGGAGAAATACATATATTTTCAAATCCGGTTATTAGCACTAAACTTGAGTTTTCAAATCCAGGTTTAGGATGGTTGCTGAATTGAGTTTATGGCCGCATCCGCGAAGTTTGAATTAACCCTCTATCTCTAATACGAAGCGGACCATTCTCTGTTTGCATTTCTTCTTCAATCTTTTTTTGTGTTTGGAAAATTATGAGGGGTTAACTTAGTTTACATCCCCTTGTAAATTTTGAGTTTAGCAGGCTAAGGAGCGGTTAAGTCTTTAATTCCACTTAATCCTTTGCCAGATGGCACGATAATGAATATGCAAGCTTTGAGATTTCAGTTAATGTGCTTAAATATGAGAAAAATGATGACTTTTAAGTTTACGAACTTAGAACTCTTTCAAATGAAGAACTCACTTATATTTCTTCAATTTTCTCTCTTCATGAACTTAGAACTCTTTCAAATGAAGAACTCACTTATATTTCTTCAATTTTCTCTCTTCATATCAAACAAGGATTACAATAGCCCTTTATATAGGCTTCAAATACAAAAACGTTTAGGCATACCAATAGTCACAAATTAAACTCCTATTTTAATGCCATAAAGATAAATGTCATAATGAGTAAGTTACTCTTATTCTTCCATAACCTATGTCTCTTCACCTTCTAAACTTATGACCCTTGCACTTCTAAAACTCATTTATTCTAGCATTTTAATTTGATATTCCAACACGCCCCTTCAAATCAAAATGTCTTTAAGCCAAGCATGTCTCTTAGCCTCATGAAGGTTTGTTCAGTGGTGTGACAATGCTTCAGTTCAACGGTTTTCTGCTTTACATGGTCTCTGAGAAAATGAAATCGTGTATCTATGTGTTTGCTCCTCCCATGATGTACTGGGTTCTTTGCAAGCTGGATGGCTGGTTTGTTGTCCACAAAAATTACGGTCGAGTCTTCTTGTGGATGATCCAACTCCTTTAATATGTTTCGCAACCAAATTGCTTCACATACTGTAGATGCAGCCGTCACATACTCTGCTTCACATGAAGATAAAGCTACAACTCCTTGCTTCTTTGAGGTCCATGAAAATGCAGTTGACCCAAGATAGAAAACATAGCCTGTGGTGCTTTTTCTCTCATCTTGATCACCTCCCCAGTCACTATCTGAGTAACCAACTAGTTGTGCATTTTCATCATATGCATAGAAGAGACCCAGGTTGAGTGTGCCTTTGATATACCTTAGTATCCTCTTCGCAGCTAGCCAGTGAGATTCATTCGGTGTCTCCATATAGCGACTCACAAGTCCAACTCCATAAGTAATATCGGGCCTTGTGATCGTCAAGTATCTCAGGCTGCCAACTAGACTTTTGAAAAGAGTTGAATCCACGAAACGTCCGTCTCCTTCTCTTGATAGCTTCATTCCGATGGCTACTGGGGTGTTAACAGGGTTACATTCATTCATCTTGAACTTCTCTAAGATCTCCTTCATGTACTTCTTCTGGGATATTAAAATCCCCTCTTGTTGCTGCTTCACTTCAATGCCAAGAAAATAGGACATTAATCCATTGTCTGTCATCTCAAATTCATTGAACATTGCCGCCTTGAATTCAGCAAGCATCTCGGTACTGCTTCCTGTGTACAATAAATCATCAACATAAAGACAAATTATTAGAAATTCGCCTCTATGGTTCCTCTTCATGTAGATGGCGTGTTCATAGGGACATTTAATGAAGCCGTTTTGATGAAGATAGCCATCAATTCGGGCGTTCCACGCTTGTGGTGCCAAGCCTCGCCTTGTACCGATCAACTTCACCATTTGTTGTGCGCTTGATCTTGTACACCCACTTGACCCCTATTGCCTTGTGATTTTGTGGAAGAGTTGTCAACTCCCAAGTATCATTCTTTTGGATGGCGTGGATCTCCTCCTCCATTGTTGTTCGCCAACAATGTTCTATTACGGCTTCTTGAAAGGTGAGAGGTTCATGATCAGCATATAAGCAGAAAAGATTTGACTCTTCGTCTTCTTCTATCTGCTCATTGATCTCCCTGAGGCTTCTCATTTTGATGGGACCTCGTTGCATGATAGATTCGCTGCTACTACTTTCCCCAGAAGATGGACAACCTCTTGCAGGAGAGGGTGTAGAGTGTGGAGGAGATGGTGGTGTAGCTAGTGATGGTTCCTCATGTAGAGACTCATCAGGTTCATTCTCCACGGGTTGATCTTCATTGCTCCAGTTCAATGCTTCTTCTTCATTAAAGACAACGTCTCTACTAACAACTAGTTTCTTGGTTAGTGGATTGTAGAGCTTGTATGCCTTCGACTCCTCGCTATATCCGATGAAAATGCATTTTTCACCGCGATTGTCAAGCTTCTTCCTTTTGACTTCAGGTACTTGAGCATATGCAACACAACCAAAAATTCGTAGGTGTGCCACACTAGGCGTGTAACCGCTCCATGCCTCTTGAGGTGTCTTGTTCTTCACTATCTTTGTGGGGCATCGGTTGAGCAAATAAGCTGAGCATGCCACGGCTTCTGCCCAGAACTGCTTTGGCAATCCCTTTTCTTTGAGCATGGTTCTTGTCATGTCGAGGATGGTCCGGTTCTTTCTTTCTGCAATGCCATTTTGTTGTGGTGTGCAGGCAGTAGTAAACTGTCTCTTTATACCTTGCTCCCTGCAATATTCTTGAAACAGATTTGAGGTGTATTCACCACCTCGGTCAGATCGAAGAATTTTTAGCTTGTGGCCGCTCTCTGCTTCAACTAAAGCTTTAAAATGCTTGAATGTAGTAAAGGCAGCAGATTTTTCTTTAAGAGTGTACACCCACAACTTTCTATTGAAGTCATCAATGAAAGTTATAAAATATCTATTACCTCCCAAAGATACGGGATCGATCGGTCCGCAGATGTCTGTGTGAACAAGTTGCAATGGTACACTTGCTCTCCATGATTTTCCACTGGGAAAAGGAAGTCGCGGTTGCTTGCCGATTACACAACCTTCACAAATATGATTCGGTGGATCAATTGTTGGTAGACCTCGTACCATGCCAGCTGTAGACAACAACTTCAAACCGCTGAAGTTTAGATGGCCGAAGCGAAGATGCCACCTCCATGACTCATTCTCCATGAGTCCTTGAAAACACTTGTCGACTTTCGTGTTTAGATGCAAGGGAAACATGCGGTTTGTAGGTGTAAATTTTGATCTCCTGAAAACAGGGAGCTTCGTTTGTATTAATAAGAAGGCTTATTACAAACTAATAAATCAAATATTTACAACAGAAGCGGAGGGAAGGCCCTCCTTGTTTAACGTGGGTTCCTCGGTGGCGATAGGACGCCTCGCTCGGTGCTCGTGCCGAGTCTGCTTCCCTTGGACGATCCGATCGAAGTTGCTAGAGAGCTTCAGTACGCAGTAGAAGCTCGGAAGGCCCTCTTTGTTTTGTGTGGGGACTTTAGGTGGCGATAGGATGCCTCGCTCGGTGCTCGTGCCGAGTCTGCTTCCCTTGGACGATCCGATCGAAGTTGATGCCGGAGCCGGAGCTTCGGTTCTCAAATGAGGGAGCCTTTGGCAAAGGTCCAGGTTCAACCTTTGGGAGATTAGCCAGCAGAATATGCAACGGCCAATCCCCCTTCTTCATGCTGCTGAAGATGGGTTTTAACAGGCAAGGGATGGCATGGGCTCTCCCTTGATTCATGGGATTTGACCACTAATAGAGGTGAGGGAGATAGCTTGACTGCTCCTTGAATTATGGGATGTGACCACACGTTGTTCGGAGACGTCCTGCTGTTCATTCGTACCGTCAATGGTCATTCGAAGAGCTGTGCTCTGCATCACGCTACATAGGAGTGGGAAAGCCCCTCCTCGTATGCGTGACAACGGCTGTCAGATGCTTGCGTGGATCTGACCAACCACCGAGCGTTGGCGGCTCTCGTCCCTTCACCTGGACAAATGAGGTAAGCTGAATTTATGAGGGTGCAGGCTGTTTCGGCGCCTGTCCGCTCATTCGTACTGTGGACGGCCATCTGACGGGCCTGGAGTATTGTGCCCCCCCTACCCTCACATCACGGAAAATAAGGAAGGTTTGTCCTCGCGAGCTTAGGACTGCAGGCAGACTTGGGTCTGCAGGCGAGCTTGGGGACTGCAGGTAGACTTGGGTCTGCAGGCGGATTTGGGGCTACAGGCAGAGCTCGGGACTGCAGGCGGACTTGGGTCTGCAGGCGGATTTGGGACTGCAGGCAGAGTTGGGGACTGCAGGCAGACTTGGGTCTGCAGGCGGATTTGCAACTGCAGGCAGACTTGGGTCTGCAGGCAGATTTGCAGGCAGACTTGGGGTCTGCAGGCGGATTTGCAACTGCAGGCGAAGCTGGGGGACTGCAAACGAACCTGGGTCTGCAGGCGATCTTCAAGCCGTTAGGCGAGCTCTATAGCGTGGATCGAAGAATAGGCCGTAATTTTCAAACCGTAAGTCGGAATTGGGCGAATTATATATAAAAATCGCCTATCTCGATGAGATGGAGCCATCCGAACCTAGCCGAAGGCTTTGGTTCGCTTCCTCCGTTTCGCCAAATTCCTTACGGTTTGGGAGATATCTGCGTTTTCCCCTTTTTCTGCTATTTCGGGCGAGTTTTTAACAGTTTTGTTC